GCAGGAAATAGGTCTTTGTGGTTAGACATTGCCCTGGTGAATAAAGATATGTAAATCTAACAAGGAAAAACAGAAACCCTAGGCCTTCTGTGTACGTATATGTGTGTGTGTGTGTGTGTGTGTGTGTGTGTGTGTGTGTGTATGTGTGTGAGTTACAGCCATGTAGATTGGTCTTCTTGTGGGACTCCTAACAATGGCAACAGGGGCTATCTCTGATGCTGTTGCCTACTTTGGGGACCCTTTCTGCCTACCAGATTACCTCATCCAGCCTAAATAAAACAGGAGATGCCTAGTCTCACTGCAACTTGATATTCCGTGATTGACTGAAATCCATGGGAGGCCCCCCCTTTTCTGAAGAGAAACAGAGGAGGAAGAGTGGATGGAGTTCAAGGCATGATGGAGCGGAATGGGTTACCTCATAGATTGCTGGGAATTTCCATTTTCCTAGGTTTATAGCTCAACCCAGAGATGTCCCAGAAGCCAGTTGTGTCTCTCAGTACACTCTCTCCATTTTCCCTTGCACCTGATCCATCCTGTTCTCATTCCTTGCCCCCATCTAGACCCCTCTCCCATCCATCAGTGATGTCTATTCTATTACCTTTTCACAGTGAGATTCTCAAGCCCCATCATGACCCCTTGTTAATTAGCTTCTCTCTGAGCCTGTGATTGTAGCATGGTTATCCTCTCTGGGCCTGTGATTGCATCATGGTTACCTTACAGCTAATATTCACTTATATGTGAGTACATACAATAATTGTCTTTCTGGGGGGCTGGAGAGATGGCTCAGTGCTTAAGAGCATTGTCTGCTCTTCCAAAGGTCCTGAGTTCAATTCCCAGCAACCACATGGTGGCTCACAACCATCTGTAATGGAGTCTGGTGCCCTCTTCTGGCCTGCAGGCATACACACAGATGGAGTACTGTATACATAATAAATATTTAAAAAAAATAATTGTTTTTCTGGGTCTGGGTTACCTCACTCAGGATGACCTTTTCTAGTTCTACCCATTTGCAAGCAAATTTCTTTTACTTTATAAAATGGTCTACATTCTATGGATGCCAAGCATGGGATATCCTTATGTGAAGTGGGGGTATATTTGAAGTTAGTGAGATTGCCCAGTGGCTATGTAAGCTTGCCACCAAGCTTAATGTGGGTTTGAACCCAGTGTTTCTGAAGGTAAAAACAAGAAAAACAACTCGGACAAGCAGCCCTATGATCTTTACACCATATTTTCTATCAGAGCACATAGGGAATGCTCGGCAATTTGTGATACTCACAAACAGAAAGATATGCATGACTGTCCAGTGTACAGCATAGTCTTCCTACTACATGACAAGGGAACACACTATCTGCAGAGCTAACACGATGAAGTCCAGCTCTGCCTTCAGGAGACCTGAGTTTCAGAGTGTCTCCAGACAGAATTGTGTTTACTTTTCTGTTTATGTGTCAGCTTCCTTACAAACCTTCTTTCACTTGATATTTATCCTGTGATAAATATCTTTGCAACATGCATTTCACCATTACTTTTCCCTGCTACTGCCTGTCGGAAATACCTGAACGCATGATCATGGCCTTCAGAGATTAGGATACAAAAATACCCAAAGAAAGAGACAGGTTAGACAGAGGAGGACGTCATTTAGACAGACCAAGAAAATAAAGGTGATGCTTTATTTAGAACTAGTTGAGAACTACAAGAGTTTTTAAATGAGTAGGAACTTTCTTCTAGGAATCTTCTGACAGATGTTGCAAGTGTAGTTCTCACTTCGTATCTCTTGATCTGCCACTATGGAAGCACACTTGGCCTTCACCTGATTCTTTAGTTTCAAAGAGTTTATCTCAAAGAGAAAGAAGGTAACACCAAAGAGTGACATGGTGGCAATCAGTACTCCTATTGGGAACACAACAGTATAGTGTTTGCTTATTAAGGCTTCTTTTTTAACTGGAAAGTCAGGTGGAAAGTCAAGAGTGGTTTGGCCATAATGATCTACAAAGTGGTTCCAGCTCACAGAAACAAATGTGAAGATGCTGCTAACACACAAAACTAAGGCAGCAACCTTGTAGCAAAATAACTGCATCTCAATAAATGGGTCTTTCATGCAGCCAATATTAATGGCGATTGCACTGAAAATCAGAACTACAGGCTTCATCGTAACAGCCCACATTATCAGTGTTTGTGCATACTGAAATTCAGGTGAAATGGTCCAAGTGGAACTGATAGGGGTGTGCACCAGAATCTTGGTTACAGTGCCTGAAACATTAAATTCTTGAGGGTAGCAAGCTTCCCAAAGTCCAAAAGACACGAATTGCACAAGCTTGTCATTGAATTCCCAGAGGCGCCAGGATTGGCTGCTTGCGATGACAATCTCAAACACCAAGGCAGATAGGCTGCAGAGGAGGCCACTAAACTTGAAGAGGCACTCCTTCACATTGGCAAGTCTAAAGATGAAATTGAACAGGTATATAGTCAAGTCAGGAACACAAGGGACAGTGGAAAACAAAATGAGTTATGGTTTACAGAGCAATAAGTTCTCATACCTGGTCCTTGCTGTCACAAAAAGTTGTATTTAAGTAATATACCTAATGCCAAAGTTCCCTCTATATGAGGTTTTGATTAGCAATTTCACTATATCTATCAAATGCTGAAATGTGCAAATTTGTTAACTAAACATGTTAATGCTTGGAATTAATACTCAATAATTTACAACACATGTTAAATGATGTTTAATTAAGCAGTGTTTACAATACATAAATAAGATAAATAGCTTAAATGAGAGGTATAAGCAGAAGAATGCACAAATATCTATAAATTATGGTAGTGAATTTACACAAATTTAATTCACCTATATTGTCTGCTATATTTCTACATGTGTATGCTAGTGTATGTGTTATCGGAAAACATATTGGAAAACACTGAATTATTATTATGTGACCAAAATTAAAATCTGTTTGTGAAACATGAGCCCTCATGAATATTTCAATCATTTCCCATGACTTACTCAAACATACACATTAGAAAATTACCTTCATTTCATTGCTGAATATGAAGTATCCCAACTGTCTTGTGTGAGAAACTATCTTCTCCAGCACCAAATTAATACTATACATTTACTGTATGCACCAACTTATTTAGATCACTTATTGGTTCATAAGTAGGGTTAATGGATGTGGGGTTAATGTTCATGAATAACTATGCCCTGAAGGATGTCACTGTGTTCTTGAGCATAAATAAAGTTCAGGCATGTACATGATAACATTGCCACCTCCAATGCAGAAGGTTTGAGTGCACTACAAACTGTACCTCCTTGCCACAAAAATTTCTCTACCAGCTTCCCACTATTCCACATTCTCTGTGGAATGTACTTCCTAACAGGGTGAAGGCAGTAACTCTATTAAATTGGGAAGTCATATCAGCAAGGTGACTTTAAAATCTAGTATGAATTGAGTAACACCCTACCCATGCCCTCTTCCTTGTTAAGGCAGATCTGAGCCTTTTGATGTCAGAATCAGTGAGTTTTGAAGCACAACCAGAATCAGGGTGGAAAATTCTCTTGTGTAAGACAAATGAGCTAGCATGGCAAGATTTAGTTTTGCCCATGTCTGAAACCCATGGAGGAGGTGCTTATGCTTCATAAAGACCCAATCTGAAACCCTCCATGAAGCTCATCTTAAGCTTTTACCTTTGTTTATCCAGGAGGAAGAGATCCATTTGAGAAATGTCTAGATCATAAATATCTTCCAAATAGCAGGAAATGTTGGACAGACACGAAGTCGCACAAGAGTTGAATCACCTTCAGTAAAAGAAGTTCTGTTAGGCAGATATTTCAGCTCAGAATGGTGTCTCACCATCAACCCCTGGTTCACACAAACCAACCCCTTCCTCTGCTTTGCTTAGTTGAAGCCTCATTTATACTCTTCAGGGATATTAGCCCATCTGATAGTCCTGACCCTCCAATGAGATTCACGCAATCATTACCCCATTAAATAAACAGAAAAAAACACAGAAAGTCTAATTCACATACTCAGTTTCAGGAAACTATAAGTGTATAAAGCTCAATACAGGCTACAGAGCCTTCACAGCTACACAGGGATTCCCAGTACTTATATTCAGTAGGATTTACTGACATAGACATGATATCAACAAAGAGTTGAATCTTAGGTCATTGACTTCTTTGACCTTCTATGTCTCCTGAAATTGAAAGCTTTTAACAGAAACCATGTAGAAAACATAAAATACTTGCCTCTCTTCCCTTCTATGAAGGCCAAATGCTAGTGACTGCCCAGTATGAGAGTGACTTTAAAAATTCTTGTTTCCGTAGCTACCAGAGATGAATGTCACATTATGAGCAAAGAACCAGAGTCAAGACATATAGTCTTAAAGGGCCAGAGTGGTTAATGTCCCTCTCATATGTACAAACCTTTAGAGATATAATTAATCTATTAAAGGTATAAATTAATCTAGAATTAATTTGAAAAAATTCTCATAAAATAAATTTATCATGATTTCTCCCTTCAACAACATTTTCTACTCCCTTTGTTTCCCACATCTCTACCTGCCCACTTGTTCAGTCTTTGCTTTCTCTATCTCTGAAAAAAATCTTAATACAAGAAAGACGAAAATACAAAATGAACACATGGCATAAGGTTTGCATTGGCCAGCTACTGCTAGTTATGAAGCCTACACTGGAATGTATTGAGTATTCCCAGTTATATTCCATTGAACAAAACTGATTTTCTTTTTATTTTTTTCTAGGCAAAGAATTTTATTAACCCTTTTCCAAACTTTATCCCCAGGCTTCTTCAGCGTAATTCGCTGCAAAGACTGAATTGTGTTTAAGCAAAAACTGAAAAGAGCTGCAGTGTCCAAGGGGCTTGGGCTTAAAAATATTAGCGATCTAGATTTGATCAGATCCATAAACAAAAGACCTTTTCAAAGCAGCCATGATGTAAAATAGCAGCTCCTGTAACTTCTGCAAGTGTCACTTCTTCAGAAGTCGCCTCCGTTCAGTTTGCCTCATTCTTAGAAGCCTCATCGAAATTCTCCACCAGATCTGGGACTTCATCATCATCATCATCCTCTCCAGTAGCAAGGGGTGCTTCTCCATCCACAGATTGTTTGGGCAGAGCTTCAGCCCGTCTCCTTAAACTAGTCAGACTGTCTGCCCCAAGCTGGTTTAGAATGCTGGGAAGCATTTCTCTCAGTTGCTTTGTCTCGACGTGGCCTGTAATGGTGAAGGTGTTTGCTACCAGAGACGCCTAAAATTTAGGGTTGTTAAAATGGATCACTGTTCCTTGGTTTGTGAACATGTTCACCTCTTCAATACCAGAGAACTTCTTTAAGGAGAACTGCAGTTTTTTATCATCTGCTGTGGCTGTTCTGTGAACCACCTTCTTCTTTCTGCGAGCAGTTCCTTTCCCACCAATGCACACTTGTGCCTGCAGCTTGGCCAGTTTTTCCTGGTTCATGATGGTTTCTTTCATCTTGTCGGAGTGGAAATGGGTTCGTGCGGGGGACTAGGGTTTGCGCTCAGGGGGTCTCGGGCGGACCAGCTGAGGTAATGCGCACACATGCGGGGACGCAGGGTGGCAGCTCTGATCTTCTTTTTCCAGCAAGTATCAATTGCAAATATCTTCTTGGTTAGTGGAGATTTTTTGTGTCTGCTACACAGTTAATAATACTGGCATATGGTCTGGTTTGAATGGGTAGGGGTCTTGTTTGTCCTTTCAAAGTCTCCTTCAGTTCTCATGTGGTATCCGTCTTTTGTCCCGAGCCAATCATGTGTTAGATTCCTGCAAACAGGGCGTCGAACTGAAGTGTAGAGATGGATCAGATGAATTTGGATTTGATGAAATCTGATGTAGGACTTGCATGACTACTGGTTGGGTTAGAAGTGTGGTTTTGAGGCTGTGAAGTGTTATTCTTGGAAAATTCCCATGCAAAGCCAATGTACAGTTGGCTAGTCCAGAGATAGCAGAGGATAAGTTGAGTGTCATGAGGAAAGCTGATGACTGATTCTGCATTCAGGTCTAGGGCTTTGTATTTGTTGATAAAGGAGGTGTATATGGAATAGGGGCACTCACAAGGCAAGGCAGTTACATAATTGTGTGATCAGAAGTGGGACTGGGGACATGGGGATAACTCTGACAGCTGAGGTTTTGCAGTAGGAAAATGGCTAAGCAATGTGTGTATTGAGAAGTAGGTATCATATCAAGGCAGTGGAGCAAGATCTGTTCTTATGGTACATGGCAGAGAGAGCCAGTGAATGAACTTGTGTTACCAGAGCAAAGCCAAGGAGTATGGAAATGGCACAGAGCAGAAGAGGTTATGGGGAAAATCATCATGGAAATTAGTGCTTAATCTGTGTTCCCACAGATAGGACTTGGGACTATGAAGAGGACAAGAACATGAGTTTATGTCTTATGGATCCATCAGGGAAAGCTGGTATAGAAACTATATGATGAGAACTACTATTAAGAGCATTAGGATTAAACAGAAGATTCACGAAGTAATTGCTTTTTACTGCTGAGTAGTACTCTAATACGTATATATTCCATACACTCTTCATCCATTCTTCCATTGAAGGGCATCTAGGTTGTTTCCAGGTTCTGGCTATTACAAACAATGCTGCTATGAATATAGTTGAGCATATACTTTTGTTGTATGATAGGGCATCTCTTGGGTATATTCCCAAGAGTGGTATTGCTGGGTCCAGGGGTAGGTTGATCCCGAATTTCCTGAGAAACCGCCACACTGCTTTCCAAAGTGGTTGCACAAGTTTGCATTCCCATCAGCAATGGATGAGTGTGCCCCTTTCTCCACAACCTCTTCAGCTAAGGCTATCATTGGTGTTTTTGATTTTAGCCATTCTGACAGGTGTAAGATGGTATCTTAAAGTTGTCTTAATTTGCATTTCCCTGATCACTAAGGAAGTTGAGCATGACCTTAAGTGTCTTTTGGCCATTTGAACTTCTTCTGTTGAGAATTCTCTGTTCAGCTCAGTGCCCCATTTTATAATTGGGTTGATTAGCCTTTTACAGTCTAGTTTCTTGAGTTCTTTATATATTTTGGAGATCAGACCTTTGTCAGTTGCGGGGTTGGTGAAGATCTTCTCCCAGTCAGTGGGTTACCTTTTTGTCTTAGTGACAGTGTCCTTTGCTTTACAGAAGCTTCTTAGTCTCTGGAGGTCCCATTTATTCAATGATGCCCTTAATGTCTATGCTGCTGGGGTTACATGTAGGAAGCGGTCTCCTGATGTACTCACTCATAATTGGTTTCTAGCCATAAATAAAGGACATTGAGCCTATAATTCGTGATCCTAGAGAAGCTAAATAAGAAGGTGAACCCAAAGAAAAGCATATAGTCATCCTCCTGTATATTAACCTTCATCAGGCGATGAAAGGAGACAGAGACAGAGTTCCACATTGGAGCACCGGACTGAAATCCCAAGGTCCAAATCAGGAGCAGAAGGAGAAGAGAGCACAGGCAAGGAACTCAGGACAGCGAGGGGTGCACCCACACACTGAGACAATGGGGATGTTCTATCGGGAACTCACCAAAGCCAGCTGGCCCGGGTCTGAAAACGCCTGAGATAAAACCGGACTTGCTGAACATAGCGGACAATGAGGACTACTGAGAAGTCAAGAACAATGGCAATGGGTTTTTTGATCCTACTGCATGTACTGGCTTTGTGGGAGCCTAGGCTGTTTGGATGCTCACCTTACTAGACCTGGATAGAGGTGGGTGGTCCTTGGACTTTCCACAGGGCAGGGAACCCTGATTGCTCTTAGGGCTGACGAGCGAGGGGGACTTTATCGAGGGAGGGGGAGGAAAATGGGAAGCGGTGGCGGGGAGGAGGCAGAAATCTTTAATAAATAAATAAATTAATTAATTAAAAACAGATAAAAGATAAAAATAAAAGTCTATTCCAGAACCTCAGCTCATGGAATGGTATCACCTACACTTAGGGCAAATCTTGTACCTCTTTCATCCCAGTCCAGAAACTTCCTCATAGACACGCCCAGAGGTTTGGCTCTTAGGTGACTCATGTTAGTAGTCATCTCTAATTATTACAGACAGCCATCTGACTAGAGGCATGGGGGAGGGAAGTTATCCACGGTAACCAATGGCAAGGCCCTACAAACAGGAAGCAGGCGTGGGACTATGGGAAACCTAGGTGCACTGCTTTCATTTGGCTCGCATGGATGCTGGAGTTATATGGGTGAGCAGTGTTGGCAGAGGTTTGGAGGGTTATAGCACTCCTTAGGCTACTCTGGGTGCTGCTGGTGGGAAGTGTAAGGCAGAGAAACAGACTGCATCTCAACAGGCTGAGACCGCTTTGTTCTGAACAGCCAGCCCCCCCCCCCCCCCCCCCAGCAACCTTTCCTCTGGTTGAAGGCTGAGCACATTTAGAAGCTGGGGATTATACATAGTTAGCTACCAGAAAGTTGCAATTGTTTTTGTGATTAGACTGGCGCATGGCAGGTTGTTTTGAACACCCAGGCATATTGTTTCTGCAAGTGGAACAGGTCAGTCGGGTTGGGGCTAAGCCATTCTTTATGGCTCAGGGCTATTGCTCTGTACAGTTTGACCCAGTTCCTCATGACCCGAGGCTATTATCCAACTGGAAGCCATTTCAGTTTTTGACCCATTACAAAAATCAATCTGTAAAAGATATATTGTATAAGACTGTAGAAAACAGGTAATTTCAACACTAGTTAATTCAGAAGTTAACTTAAAATAATAATTTCTGCTTTTATTTTGTGCTTCTGATTTTGGAAGAATTGGTGTTCTATTGCTGTGAAGAGATACAATGACCACAGCAACTCTTATAAAGGAAAGCATTTAATTGGGAATGGAAAGCATTTAATTGGCACTTGCATACAGTTTCAGAGGTTTAGCCCGTTATATTATGGTTAGAATCATGTTGCTGGAGAAGGAGCTGAGAGTTCTACATCTTGATCCACAGGCAGTAGCAAGAGGCTGCCACATTAGGTCTAGCCTGAGTATATGAGACCTCAAAGCCCACTGCCATAGTCACACACTTCCTCCAACAAGACCACACCTACTTCAACAAGGCTGTATGTCCAATGTTTTCAAAAATGTCATTCCCGAGCCAGGCAGTGATGGTGCACACCTTTAATTCCAGCACTCAGTAGGCAGAGACAGGTGAATCTCTGTGAGTTCAGGGACAGCTTGGTCTCCAGAATGAGTTCTAGGACAGGCTCCAGTGCTACAAAAAAAACCTGTCTCAAAAAACCGAAAAAAAAAAAAAGCCATTTCCTATGAGTCTATGGGGACCATTTTCATTCAAACTATCACAACTGATGTCTTTTTTTTTTTAACAAAGGGTTTTCTGTACACCATACTGGTTTTGAATTCTCTGTGTAGCCAAGGATGATCTTGAAATTCTGAGCCTCTTATATCCCATCACCTCCATATTAGGATTACCCAGTTCATGTGGGGCTGGGGAATCAACCCCAGGGCTTTGTGGTTGTTAAGCATGCACTCTCCCAACCAGGCAGTGCATTGTAAACTCAGAACTGCTTAGATTAGACTTGCTTAGCTTAGATTCTAGATGCCAGCAGAGAAAAGCATTTCTAGCAGCACTCAGGACGTTGAGACAAGGGGATTGTGATTGAGCACAAGATCAACTTGGGCTACATACTAAGAAGCAATGGCTTGCTTCTCTGAGTTTAGTTCTAATTCTGTAGCATAACTTTTTTTTATTTCCACTTTCTATCTTTTCTTTAGATACCACCCAAAATCCTAAACATAAGCGTGTTTCCTCAACACTTATCATTCTCATTATTTTGAAGGCCTCTCCACCCCTACCAAACCTCTCCCCACCCCTATCTCTCTCCTCCCTGCTGCTTCTAGTATTTATACTAGTGGTCCTCAACCAGGCGGGGTCAGATGACTCTTTCACAGATGTCACCTAAGATCACCAGAAAACACAGACATTACATCACAGTTCATAACAGTAGCAAAATTACAGTTAGAAAGTAGCAACAAAAATAATTTTATGGTTGGGGGCCACCACAACATAAGGAACTGTATTAAAGTGTCATAGCATTAGGAAGGTTGAGAACCACTGATTTACACCTTGCCATGTGATTTTTATTTTCCAAAGGAGACTCTTGTCTCCATTTTTTGTCCCCTCTCAGAACACTTTGACTGTATTTTATCAGGAACTATGGCAAGGACTTACAGTTTAACTTACAA